AGAAAAAAAAATTGCAAGTAGAAGCTGCTAATCCCTAAAGCCTCCGAGTGAAGAAATCTGTGAGAAAGAAATTAATAGCTTTCGAAGTGTGGCTTGAAAATTGAATTAATAAAAAGTACCCCTTTTAAGCCACTATAATTATAAAGGTTTTATTTTTCAAAATTTTGGCCAATAAATAAATAAAAAAACAAAAGTCAGAGGCAAAACCCATAAATTTCTACGGCAGAATCTTACAAGATGTTATGCCTTAGGTCCTTGGCAGCAGTGAGGAAACGGCAGCAGGTGTGATCCTCCTCCGTTTCTTCTATTACATTTCTTAATAATTTTAACCCTGCCCCTTTCTGCAATTTCCAGGATCTGGAGGATAAAATCCCTACCGAATTTGGACCTTTTCCTGCCTCACTTCTGCAAACACACACTCTTACTAACTCTGGCCCAGAATTTTTAAAGTGCCATTGATTATTCTAATGTCATTTTCAAAACCTGCAGCACATCAGAGGATTCCCCTTATAGAAAGAGTTGTGTCACAGACAGAGATAATGTTTTCTTTTTCAAATGGCTGCCTCTGCTATAACATTGAGTGAGTAACAGAAACATGCCCAGCTTCTGAGGCCATGGGAAATAGAAGACATTTTAGGTTTTAAACTTGAACATTCTATAGCACACTGGCAGCTCAAACATTCTTCAGACAAAACACTTGTTTCTATTGTATTAATGGTTTTCTCTCTGAGGAGAGGGATTACATATGATCTTTATTTTCTTCTTTATAGTTTCATATATTTTCAAATTCTTCCATTTGAAAAATAAGACATTTGTGTTTAAGTAAATACTCTGGAACTAGAACAACTATGCAAACAGCATAAGTTCCCCAAACTCTACGTTACCTACATGTGAATGCGAAGGAGAAAAGTTGTCAAAGGTCAAGATTCAAAGCACTGAAAGTCAATTCTTTTCCTTATGGATGTGTTGTGCCCTCACTTCGTGTCCCAGATAGAACTCAAAGAAAGCAAAAATGTCTAAATTTTCCATACACAAAGATATGAAAATTTCCTAAGATAACTAGGGAGTTTCCAAACTATAAATTCTAGAGTTTCCAATGAAGCATCTTTCATCTTTGCAACACTCACTTTAATTTTTTCAGGGAAGTGGATGGGAGGAAGGGGAGAGAGAGACACAGAGAAAGAGAAAAAATCATGCCACTTAGTGAAAGATAAGAGTAAGAGATAAAAGTAAAAGATAAGAGGAAGAATAAATCTTCTGGGCTTTAAACAAAAAATAAACTTGAGTTTTCATTTGCTAAAGTCTATAGTCTTATTCATCATGAAGGTATTTTGAAATGAAGCTCATCCCTCCAGAAAATGTTCTCCCTACCAGGATTTGGGAAATAATGCAAGGACCTCCTAGCCCCATGTGGCTCTTCAAATAACTGTAAATTCCCAACAATAATCTCACCTTTGGGTTCAGGCATTGTAATTTGAAAAAGAAAATAGAATCTCCCCTCTCTAGACTCTTCGCTGGGGTAATACTTGAGGTATTAATTGATTCATTGAGTCTCTCATTCATTTATTTATTGATGCATTCAAGTATTTGTTCAGCAAATCTACTGGATTCTTCTTCTGTGCTAGAGAAATACCAAGCTGAGGATACAGCAGTGAACAAGGCAGACATCTCATCTATACCAATTAAGAGAGGCTGAATTAAAGTTTTTAATGGTGCAGGCTAATGTGGCTGGATGTAATGAATCTGAAAGTCAAAAATCAAGGACAGATTAGCTTAAATAAATGTCTCAAGATACTTCCCTTTCCTAATATTAGATTATTTCCCCATTGCCTTCTTCTACCACCTCATCAGGAGCTAAAGTCTAAGCATATGATGATAAAGCTCTTAGAGAAAGCCTAGAACATTATCTACACTAGAATTGTCCAACTTTGTGTTTTACATTGCTTCAGTTGATTTAGCTTTCTCTATTATACCTTGTACCTTCACTGCCATGCTTACATGTTAAGTGTATTTGCTGAAGCAAGATTAATAAGTAGTTAGAAGTTTTCCTGAAGGGCATAAAAATCATACATTTCAGGTTATATTCGAAGCATAGTGCCCTGGAAATCTTTGCAAAAATAATATCCCTGACAATGCAGTTTGATTCACAAGATTGCATTATCACTAGAAAAGTAACAATAATTTTCAGGTGTTAAATGCAAAAAAAAAAAAAAAATCTGTCTATAACAAGAGAAAAGTCCCCTCTTGAAGAGTAATATTTCATGCCTGGTTTTCACTGAAAAAGAAAAAAGAAAGTGTTTACCTCTTTCTCCCACTACTGCCACCTCGTGGACAAAGGTGATTCACTTGGACTGCACATAGGAGCATGTCTTAATCTTGCCACAAGATGGCAACATATGACCAAGTTTGCAAAAAGGCTCAGAATGTTCTACTCCTAAAGGAGGTGATGAGCAGGAAATAGTACTCCAAAATAATCCGTTTATTCTATTTTCCTAAAGACAAATGGAATTCCACGTGTTAAAATCTTTAGGGCTTCACAAAGAGGTTGATTTATTACAGGCATAGGGAGGAGTACCTAAAATTTAACTGGCAACTTGTTTTGCTTTTTAAAGATATTTCAAGCAAGCGTATATTTTACATCTGAATTTTTCTGATATTAGCTTCACAGAGTTGAATATTTGGGAATTTTTATATGCTTTTTGTAATCAACTCTCTCTAGTTGATTCATAGGGGAGCATCTGTTCACTAAGAGACCCATTAGAACATATAGATTCTTATGCATACCTATGCCAGTGACAGGGTAATGTGGGCACATTGCTAGAATTTTCCTGATCAAAATGTGCCCTAATCAGTCCATCTTTCTATCACTTTTTTTGTGCTAAAATCTCACAGTGTTTGTTCATCAAATTGCTGCAATTATATATGTATATAAATTATTTGGATTTGTAATCCTACGACTTATTTGTTAAGCTGTATTTTTCTCTCTCCATAAAATTACATTAATAATCCTTTCTAGAAGGGATTTTATCAAAAAACTGACAAAAACTTTTATTTATTGAGCATTTATTATATGTCTGGCCCCACTATAAGTTTAGCATGTTTATTAATTGATCTAATTCATAGCACAAATTTATAAGGTACATGTAAGTAAACTCATTTTAGAGATGATGGAACTGGCACAAAGAGAAAGTAAGAGAAAGCTTTCAGCAGAATCGCTGAGCTTCCTACCTATCTGGATTTCTGAACAATTGTTTGAAATTATTCCCACGAAGCCTGTATACCAGAAACTCAGTGTTCTTTAACTGAAGATGGCCCCATTGAGGCCTCTTTGAGTAAAGAGCATCGCTCTGTGGCCTTAAGGGGTTCTTACAAATTCTCATCATTATAAGTTAAGAGGCTTGATGCAAGGAAGAAGGAAAGTTGCACTTTGCACGAGAGTCGCGCTTTTCCAACCAGTATTGAATCATTTAAATGTCCCCGTGATACCTCTTGAGTCATACAGGCATTGCTTTCATGAAAGCTGCCGAAGGGGTGTTGTGGAATAATGGACTAGATTCTGTCTAGAGAACTGGAAGTCCTAAGTTTCAGTGTCAGCTTTGCCTCTCCATTTGCAAAGGACCTCTCTGGGCCTCAGTTTCCTCATGTTATCATGAGCACATTCTCCACACTGCGTTTCAGTATTTTTTAATGCAATATGTTGATTCCAAAGAAAAGGTGTCAAAGCTGGCATTATGAAAGGAGACAAGTGGCAATATGTTTAATACACAACTTAAAACATCAGTGGCCAGATGATGAGACAGAGATAGAAAGTCGTCAATGGCTAGAGACCATTGTTTCACATATTAATAGAACCTGGCTTCACTTCCAGGGTGAGTGCTGGCTTCTGCTAGGAGAGGAGAACTCTTGCTCCATCTTTCTGTATGAACTTGCAGCATGCTGCAATTGTTAAATAGAAATAACTGCAAATGATGGGCTTCAAGAACAAAAAGACAGGTGCTGTTTTCCACAGGACAGATTGGGCTGTTCTGTCTGACAACCCACTAAGTTGGTCCTGAGCTTTACAGTGGTATCCTATAGAAATTTTATATATTTGATTCTAATGACCTAAGAGCATTGTGGTTTACTTGATAAAGATACCTAAAAGAGAAACCAAATATTTAACCTACATGAGCTCTTCTGACCCTGAGACTTATTCACAAATTAAACAAATAGTAAATACCCGCTACCTGCCAAGCTCTAATCTAAGCACTAGGGATACAGTACTTGAGAAGGAATACACTGTTGCTGCCCTCACAGAGCATATATTCTAACGGAGAAGACAAACATAAACAAGCAAAAAGTATACTCATAACATGACGTCAGGTTAGAGGTAAGTGCTATTTAGTAAACAGAGTAAAGGAAAAGAGAAAATAACAAAAGTTGCTATTTTTAACAAGATGATGAGAGGACTCCTTTTTGAGTTGGTGACATTTCAGCAGAAATCTGAATGAAGTGACTAAGCGATCAGTACAAAGATCTAGGAAAAGAATATTCCAAGCAAATGAAAAGCAAGTGTGAAGGTCTTAAGTTGGAATAGACTTGACCTGTTGGAAGAAGAGCAGGACAACCAGCTGGCTTGAGTAGAATAAACCAGGGTAAAAGAGTAGGATGAGGCTGTGGATCAGACACATTCTATTATTACACTAAATTGCAGTCAAGAGTACCTTTACATTCCATACTCAGAGCTCTTGAACTTGTCTACATGCATACCATGTAGCATCAGATATTTGTAGTTGCAAATCAGCTTTGCTACCTCCAACTGCACATTTGTTCAAACAAAACAATCTCTTTCCATTTGTCTTTCTTTCTCTCTCTACCAATATCCTTTCCTATTAAACTGTTCTTTCTTCCTTTTCTCTTATTCTCCTTTCAGCGGAGAGTATCAGACTACCTTTGTGTTTCTTCTTAACTGATAAAGATTTTTTATTTGTTTTTGTTTTGCTTAATGTTTCTTATTTTAGAAATTGGTACCACCGTGCACTTCAAGCAAAAAGGTATGTTTTTTATTTTTGGTTACCTTCCATATGTCAAAATTAAGATTTCACAGCAATATATTGTTGTCTTATTTAATTGAATTCCAATGGAATGATTTGTGCTAACAATTTCCATAACACATCTGGCTCTATTTTTTTCCAAATTGTGAACTTCTCATTTACAAAAAGTTTCTGATCCAGCCATGACCCTTATATTGCTCTTGAGAGTAATTTATTGTTAAATCCCTGGAACAGAGCAAGTTATGCTTTGCCCTACTCTCTATTCCTACTTTCTCTTTCTTAAGTATTCATGGTTCATTCTGACAAGAGATGAAATTTTGAAAATGCTCACTGCCCAGTGACAGGGCTCTCAGAAGAGATGCAGAGTCTATTTTATATTCACTTGTTGGCTTTGTAAAACAGATCCTAAAATGCAAGTAGCTACTAATCCTGAGGTGCCCTCTTTATAAGTCCAATAAATCATAGTTTCTAACAGTGTCTATCCCAGATCAGAGCCACAGAGGTACCTATGTGGCCAAACCCCACCCTCTTTACATCCTCATGGTTGCCTATCTGATTATAATTGGCTCATATGAAGGCATCTTCATCTCTGAGTCTCAAAGTGGTGAGACAGCAAAGATCACTCTGAATTGTGAAAACCTATTCTTACGGGACTTACGTACCACCAGTGATCAAGAGCCAATGAGATTATGGACACTTGGTTGCTTACTCCCAAGAAAGTGCCAGCACCATTTATGGCCAGCGCTAGCAGGTCCTCACTGAAGGCAGCAGGGAAGAGGCAGCCATGAATATATCTACCCAGGAACAGGATCATCTGAGGCCTTCAAGAAGGCATAAAAGATTGTCCTTTTCAGCCCTTCTTCTCTTCCCAATGCCACGATTACCAATTATGTGTCAATTTTAAGTGGCTAGTATTATATGTGATACATTATGACTTTGATATGTGGATGAAGAAATAGGGCATAGCATTTTTGTTTAATTTCAAAGACAATATAAATTGCCAGTGTCACCAGAAGTGCTACGTATTGGACTAAAATTTCAAAAATGTGTATGCCAATGCACTTGATGCTGTGTTGATGAAAAAGGTGTGATGATTCTGACTTTACTGTGAGAGTATTTCAGCCTTACCAAAATCTCACTTTATAAAGAGTAGCATAAAGAGCTAAAGAAAATGTGGGACGAGCTCGGATTCGATTGAGTCTAAGACCCATTACTCAAAGAATGGGGTCTTTGGGGCATATGGCCCCAGGACCCCAGTGGATGCCTGAAACTGCACATAGTACAGAACCCTATCTATATGCACTAGGTTTTTTTCCTATAATTACCTTTAATGAAGTTGAATTTATAAATTAGGCCCAGTAAGAGATTAACTACAATAATAATAAAACAATTCTAACAATATACTCTAATAAAAGTTATGTGAATGCTCCTTCTCTCTCTCTCTCTCTCTCTCTCTCTCTCTCTCTCTCTCTGAATATCTCATTGTACTGTATGTACCTCAGGTAAGTGAAACAGCAGAAAGCAAAGCCACTGGTAAGGGAGGACGGCGGCATTTCCCCTCCTCTCCTTTGCTCCAGCCTTGGCTTTAATTCCCAGTTAATTCACCCAGAGGAAGCTGTACTGGCAGAAATGGACAGCAGATGGCACCAAAGTCAATTTTATCAGGCTTCCCTTTAAACATGTCTTCCCAGGATACCAACATGCCTTAGTCGACTGTTCTATTTCAGTCACTCAATCAGCCTTTAATAATTCTAAAATAATTCAAACTTTAACTCCTCTGGTTTTTTTCATATGGCTGAACTGTGAATAGGAATAAAATTATGATTTACTTTGACTTCTTAGTGGCTGAAAGGAATATTCAAGAATCACTGAGAACATGATTAATAGCCACTTTGAATAAATTTACTCCTAAATCCAAGAAATGGGCCCTCAGGAGGAGCAACAGAAAACTGTTGACCAGATTTGAATTACAAAGTGTCCCTAAGCAAACCTCTCTAAAACAGGTATTGAAAAATCACGTGGTCTTTTCCTTGCAATTTTACTGAAATATAAATCAATTGGCTCCAGATCCTGAATCAAATTTGTAGTCTAGAGACTTGCCAAAAAATTCTCATATCCCTCAATTTCAGAATGTTTTATCAATCTTGCCCTTAATCACAAATTCCCTTTCATTGTTATAAGAAAGTGCAATCTGGCATTCACCTGGACACAGAATCCCACTTATTCCGCCTTGGGGTTAGGAACCTTGACCTGGTGTGTTGACTTATGATTTGCAGTCCTGCTGCAGCTGAACTTTGCTCTTTAGAGTCAACATTAAAAACCTTGCCCAATACACAAACCAATGCCTTCGATTCAGGTTAGTATTTCATCTCTTTCTGTAATCCAAAATTCTGCATTTGGATTAATAATAATACAATTTACTGAATGCTTACCATATACACACATATCAGTGGATGTGCGCATATATAACACACATATAGAATGTGGTTAGATGCTAAAACATGATTTTTGTCTGTTATATAAAAAAACACATAGGAAATTTTTGAATTGTAGTTTTATTTGCCCATCTATTCTTAAGGCTAATTTATGTTTGCAGACTCTTGCTTTCATTTTATCTGTCAGTATATGAAAGCACTTGCTGAGCCTGGCCATCTGGTGTGGGAAATCAGATTTATCATTTGCATTTCCACAAATAAGCAGAAATTTCATAACTCTGAAGTAAAACATAATTAATGATTTTGCTGATTATTCTTCCCTGAAATAGCTACTAGCTGAAGTAGTCTTCTATGCAGTCACATATATCTATAATTGCATACACACTTGTGATGATTCCCCAACTATCACCCATTTACCCTTGCATATTTAAGCCTATTTATTTACTCGCAAAACCAATTATGAAAAGTGTAAGTCATATAAGTACACTAAATAGCTATATGAGAGCCCTTAATAAATAATAATTGATAGAGATGAAGATATCTTTAACTGATGCACAAAATACATTACAAATATATTTATACAGCACTTAATGACTGGGATACATTCTGAGAAATGCATTATTATGTGACTTCATTCTTGTGAACATCATATACTTACACAAACCTTGATAGTATAGCTTACCACGCACCTAGTGTGTATGGTATAGCCTATTCCTAGGCTGAAAACCCATAAGCATGTGACTATACAGAATACCATGGGCAGTGGTATTTGTGTATATAAGTATATCTAGACATAGCAAAGGTGTAGTAAAAATGCAGTGCTATAACTTTATAGGACCACATTTGTATACATGGTTCATCTTTCACTGAAATGTCATGTAGCATGTGACTGTATATGATAATATTGTGAAGGATAATATTAAAGATTATTAATATAGTTATACTAAGATTCCCCATTATAACATAGAATAGCATGTGACAATAATAGTTAATTCTGAATTATGTGTAAAAGACCAATAACGTGTATATATCATATGTGTACATATGAGTAAGTATATAAAATATATACTTATCTTTGTATGTATGCATATGTATACGTGTATTATCAAGAATGTTATATGTGAATATGTTTATCTAGGTTCATATATTCTGTAATATATTTTTCAATGATAGAATTTTGACTTTCTTGAATACTTATCACTGTCAAATAAAATGCCAAGACTAGTCTTAACCTTCCCAAGGTATCACTCAGCTCCAGGATGTATGCAAGATAATCTAGCCTATCCTTGCACTAAAAATGAGATTAAAGAAATAAGTAGAATTGGGCTCTAGCTGCAAACCTTTTGTTTTACACCATCCCTGGTGCAGACAAATATTTTTTGCCTAACCTTCTAAGGCTTTAATTTTTGTGTAGTTTTTCTCTGTTTTGAAAACCTCATCGATACACAAATATAACCAAATATGCCAAGGAGCTCTTGCCATCTAGTGTACATAGAAAGACTATAAGGTTGGGAAAGTAACATTCCTACAAGCCCAGAAGCCATGGGAGAAGTTTCCACTAAGAGAACTTGAAGGTCCCAACAGTCCAGAAAGGCTGGGAGTAGGAGACATGGAAGTGGATTAGAAAAGGCCTTGAGCTGACTTCAGACACTTGAATTTAAGCACCTGGTCAACAATTACTAATTGGGTGCTTTCAATCAAGATACAGAATCTCATTGAACCTTAATTTCTCATGCAATGCATGAACCTGAAGTAGCTAATATGTCTTTTGTTAATATGATCCTATCACAATTCAGAAAATTAGATGATTAATTCATTAAACCTTTATTCTGTGTTTCTATAGATTTACACAATACAGCTCATTTTACACTGTAACTATGCTGATCAAAGTTTGTATATGTTCATATTTTTATATTAGGTGAATGTTTTTAATATTCTCAAGAAGATATTCTAGCCAAAACTCTCCTATCAAAAATCTTTTTTGCAATGATAATTGCTGTCTCCCTGTTTTTGTTTGTGCTGGCCATTTTCATCAAACCCAAGTTTAATTTACTGACCCAAGTTTAATACACTGAATGTTGACAGGAGACTTATAGGCACCCGTTTCCTGTGTAGTGGTGACAGGCAAAGACTCTAGAGCCAGATGCCGCCTGGGTAAAAACCCAGCTCCTCTGCTTACAAGTTGTGTACGTTTGCACAGCGCATCCAACCTCCCTGTGCCTCGATCAGTTCACTGTAAAACAGGTTTTATCATACTACCTACCTCCTAGCATAGTTGTGTGCTTAGATTTATAAGGAAGTTATGACAAAATTGTGTAGCAAGTGCTGTATGATTGTTTGTGGTTTTCTTTTATTGTTGTTGTTGCTTTTATTATTTACATAAAGCATAGATAGGAGATCACAGAATTCGGCATTTTTTCCTGTTATGCTATCTCCAATTGGGCATGTTTGTCAACAGTTTTGGAAAAATTCACATACCAGGGGATGCTTCCATTATACCTGCAAACCATCATAGTTTGACACACACACACACACACACACACACACACACAAATAATCAAGCTGCATATCCACCCTCAAAATTTTAAAGCGACTGACAATTACAGTCACACCAGTTTCTCTTTTGAACATCACTGTTTAAGTATGTAGTCTTAAATCCAAAAGTCCCTGTACCGAAAAATACTATTTTTTCACTTTAATGGACCATGAGCAGAACTATACAAAAGGAGAAAATGGAACAAGCAAAGCACAGGCGATCAGCTTTTCTGCCAGACCTATGATTCCCTCCTCCGTAATCCTCTTTCTATGAACACACAAGCCCCTTCTCAGGGGCTTTCCATCCATCCTATTTCCCCTCTCACACCCACACCCACATCTCCCAAATTGTGTCCACATTGGGAAAACTAAGGTGGCAGCAGGAAACACGGAGTGCCATTCCAGGTTAATCTGGGTGACTTCAAATCTCAGTTCTGTTCATGGTCTGGACCTGCCTCTGAACCTCTCTAGGTGTGTCTGTTTATTTTTGTTGTTATCATCTTTGTTTTTGTTTTTGATTTTTAAAGTGACAAGTGAAGAGTTTGGAGGAGTTGATCCTCTGCTACCTGTTAAGATTTTAAGATGTATTGACTTATTTTCTCCCTTGCTAAGGTACCATCTAGCCATAAACATTACTTTAAAACAGTTCTCCTCCCCATTAGCAAATAAGTAATTACTGCCTCTCGCCAGGGACAGAAGGGGTCCTGGATGGTTCCATGCTTTTTTGGTGGAGATGCTGTGACGAATTGGCCGGAAGACCCATGTCTGGATGCTGAAGGACCCTCACCAATGCTTGGAACCTTAATGAGTGCTGGCACCAGAGGACTACTTAGGGCAGGGCCAACGGGAGGAGGCTGGGCAAACAGGAGCCTCCCGCACCATCAGACACATTGGTCATAGCCAGTTTAAGGACTTATCTGGCAAGAGCATTTTGAATTTAGAAGTGTTTCAACCAATGATACCCCTTAGGATACTTGTGGCCCAGGGAGGAGGATTTAGAAAGGTTTTGAGCCTTTCCTGGGCTGCACATAAGTGCACTAACTTGAGACGCTGGTATCCGCCCGGGTCTTACCTCTGATACCATCAGCAGTCAGCTGTAACATAGAGTGGGCCCATGTCACTCATTCTCTTTTCTCTCTCTCCTCTTTTGCTCTGCAGGACCTGGGTCGGTGAGAGGAATAAATGGATCCATCAGTCTGGCCGTACCACTGTGGCTGCTGGCAGCATCTCTGCTCTGCCTTCTCAGCAAATGTTAATAGAATAAAAATTTAAAAATAATTTAAAAAACACACAAAAATGCGTCACACAGAATACAGAGAGAGAGAGAGAGAGAGATGGGGGGAGACCGTTTATTTCACAACTTTGTGTGTTTATACATGAAGGGGGAAATAAGAAAATGAAGAAGAAAATACAACATTTAAAACAATTTTACAGTCCATCATTAAAAATTTAAGTATCATTCAGGATGGAGAAGTTTCTACCAGGATATGTTTATATCTACTAAGCAAATGTATGCTGTGTAAAGACAACGTCATACTAAAGACATCCCGGATGCTGTAAAAATAGGACAAGAACCAGATGGATATTAAGCCCCCAACACACACGTTATCCTTCCTTCCTTCATCCTTTTTCATCTGTGGGGAAAAAATAAGGTCTTGCCTTTGGTGTTTATATTTCCATAACCTTTTAATTCTGTTTTTCATTTGCGCTGACTTGTAGCCACTTCAGACTATCAATGGAATCTTATGTTGAGCCGTTCTCTGGCTTTCCTTCCTCCACTATCTCTCCAACTTTAGACATCATCCCCTCTCCCTCCACTGTGTTCTCTCTCCCCCACACCCATCCTAGATATCCCCTTATTACCCACCTTTCCTCCCCCACCTCTCCTCACCCTCACCCCCTCCCCAGAGCACTAGTCATGCCGCAAATGCTAGGAAGTGCCATTTTAATTTTCTCCACTGTGCGTGTGTGCTCAAGTCTTTCGCTCTCACGTGGGTGTACATGTGTGTGAGCGTGTGTGTGTCTCTCTCTAAAGCATGCCAAGGGAATGGTCCATGTGTACATAGACTCACTGTGCTGTAGATACTGTCCTGCATTGTAATTGTGAGATGCGGCTGTAACAAGTTGCTGGGGGAGATGGCGGGGAAGGAGGCAAGGAGCAGAGTCCTCCCCCCATCCATGGCTGTCACATGGCATCAGTGTGTATTCAAACCAAGCTGTGCCCCTTCCAAGGGCAGGACCCCATATTCCTCCTAGTCCCATCATCAGAACCGAGTGGGGAGTCACTCAGAATATCACTGTAAATGAAAGTGCCTACTATCGATGGGGTAAGCAAACAGCATAAGGAATTATGACATGAACAAGGTGAACTAGGAGAGAAAATTTCAGATTTTACTCTCATTTCATGAGACTGAGGGATTCACATATTTCCTGGCTTTTAACAGGGTAGGCCCTGCTCTGCTGCAAAAATGAGCAGCATGTGTTGAGTAAATCCCCAGAAACAGGAAGGTCTCCAAGTGTCAACTCCCAGTAAAAGAATGATGAACCACTTGGAGATCCTAAGATTAAACCTCCCTAATCTTCAAATAACACTGCATTTGTCCCATGAATTCCCCTGAGCAGAGATTGTTTCCTATTTCAGATAAAATACAGTAAAAGTGAGCAAGGCAGAAAAAGTCAACAGATGCCCAGGCTCCTACCATATTCTGGAGATACTGTCAGAGCACTAATACAGAGCATTGGCCATAATGAAGAGCAGTTCACTCCTCGTGCTCCTCTGCAGCTGTTTTTCCCAGTGTTCTAGGTTAATATTTTATTTGGTTGCCCACATGATCCCCGTTCTGTTTCACCGATGGTGTTTGCAGCACCACGCCTCATGGTAGTCCACTGTCATCCTATGCCAGGCTGCTAAGAATTGCATTATAGTCACCTTCCCTGTTCATTTAAATTTACATCTATAAGAGCCACCTTGACATTAACACTGAAATGTGATCTAGGTCCTTAACCAAAATTGCTGGGCAACTTGTAATAAATATAGACAGAAATTTTATGAATACCACAAAGCTTGGTGTTACCACATCACCAGGATTTCTTAGGAAATGTCTTGCGGAGAAAGCTGGCTCTCTGCATGTAGGTATCTTTGTTAGAAAAACAACCATTGCTCTCACTTACACAATAGGAGGCACTGAAAGTGGTTCTGTTCATGAAAGGACAGAGGATTATTTAGAGATTATATTTGAATATAATCTTGCAGAGCCAAATATGGTACATCATTAAATTGGAACCTTGTAAATAGCTGTTACACTATATGGAATGAGAAACTTTGGAACTGGAATAAAATGAAGGAAGGAAGGAAGGAAGGAAGGAAGGAAGGAAGGAAGGAAGGAAGGAAGGAAGGAAGGAAGGAAGG